CCCTCCCTTATCAATATTCAGTTCGTTCTCAAAATTTGATAGACCGATTTTGATAAAACTTTGCCATTTTCCATTATTTGTTATGAAAAATCCAAAAATGTAACGACGGTCAATTTAAATGTAAAAATAGGGTCCATGACTTCGTTTTCGATATAGACTACAGTGGAGTCAAAGTGACAAGGTTTGTGCTCCCTGATGCGCTTAGCGCGCCTAACGGAATTTAAGGAAGAAAACTAAGAAAACAGCATTGCATGATTGCGATAAACGAACAAAGCAATTGCCATCGATTGCTTTGTACTTGGATGTACGTGTCAGAAAGTGGAAGGATCTCATCTCCTATGGCCGGCAGGTACGAAGATAGCCTCTTCTATGCCAAAAATTGCAAGGATCACTTTCTTCCTTCTGGCTTCGCCTCAATTCTATCGCGATACAACAAAGTCGTGCGATGTCCTTGCCATATCTAGAGTTGCCACCTTTTCAAAGTCGCTGACCCGGAGGGCAGGTGAGGTTCGTTCGAACAGAAGTTCCTGATGCATGCGCAATGTCATTTTGCAATGCGAAGAATAATTCGCAGTGCATGCCGGTTCTAAATCAGTTACAGTTAGCGACTAGGGGGAGACTTGGATAGGAGTAACGCAAGTGACCTAGCTCTATTGGATATTGGAGGTGTATACGATTACGAATGAATCGTACAAGAAAAAAAAAAAAAAAAAAAGCAGCACTGCGCCTAATGCCAACGACTACCACACTAGTAATTTGGTACATGGGGGAAGAAATATATGCGACGGTTTGCATATAATTTTGTACATATTCATTTCAACTTGCACAACCCGGAGAAATATTAATTAACCCCGGAGCCCGGAGATAACTCACTCAATCCCGGAGTCTCCGGGTCAAACCCGGACAGGTGGCAACCCTAGCCATATCTCGAGTGGGGTCGGACGTAATGAAGATTTTACTCCTTACCATTTCTCTACTGTCTATCTCCTCTCCCTCCTTCCCCTCCTTCCCTTANATTTTACTGAATGAAAGAAAGGTTGTTATATAAAATAAATTGAATCATGTATATAGTGTAGAATTTGTAGGATTCTTAGATATGATATATGGCTAAAGGAAAGGAGGAAAATTGTTTATCAAAAATTTATTTATTAATTGATATTAATTATAAATTATTATTATTATTATTAGTATTACATAAAATATTTTGAAACTTTTTGTCAAGTGATTGTAATGATTTTGCCAAATGATGGTGAAATTTTCAACTGGATTTTACTAGGTACATCAAGGTTGCATTACATCAATTTTCAACCATTTTCTCTTTCAATCTATACATAGAAATAATTATGAGTGTCTTTCTCAATTTCACACTATCCATATGTAATGTTTTTAAAACATATTATTTGTCTATAGTATTATTTCTGAAGTTTATAAAACTAAGTACAAAATTATATACATGGTTTGGAAGCAACAAAAATCAGTTTTTGATATTTATTTTATATACAAATGTTATTTTTTAAATGAAATCTCATAACAGCCAAGAAAGTTACGCAATTCATTGCTAGATTTTTTTATTCTTTAAAAAATTTTTTTTGACAATTTTTGAAGATCATCATAATGGCAAATCGCAAGTCAGACTGTCGTAAATCGTTTATCTTATAGCAGTTTTGCCTTACATTGTATGGTCTGTTATTTTAAATGGTAATTATTTTCCTCATATAACTTAGGCATAATGTTAAATCTGCCTGAAAATTCGTCCATATTTATCATATTCTTAATCTAAAATTCTCAAGAAAAATTCCTAAGAAAAAATTTGACTGTCATCCAAATTGCATAATTTTTTATATCTCAGATATTTTTATTTGAATAGCAATTGCTTTTTTACGTAAAAAATTAAGGGAAAAATTATGCGATAAAAGNAAAGTAGTCTCCCTTTCAAGGCTATACGACTGCCTGCCGACGTGCATATCTCTTTCTTATCTCCCCTCTCCTGACTGTTTTATATCAACTCTTTTATTTACATTAAAATAAAATATTAGATATCAAATTTTCTCATTTTGGTCCCCCATTGTGCAAAATATATTACAACCAGCAGTTAACGTATTAAAAATGGGCAAAGAAAATTTTATAACTGATGGATGGCAATGACTTTCTCTTTTGAAAAAATACAAAAATGTTGTTTACAAAGAGACACATGGAGAAGAAAAGATTCAGATTTCTCTTCAGAGAAATATTGGCTGACAGAAGATGGTCTAAACTACTTTCTGAATTTTCACCTTCAACATTTATAATGCTGAAGAAACTGGCCTGTATATCTGTGTTACACCTGAACTTATTCAAAAATGAATAAACATGAGAAAGTAAGATTTCCAAAGAGTATCTGTTGTGTTGTATAAGTAAGGTATGAGAGGAGGAGGATTTGATGTTGATAGGAAAAAGCAAAAAGCCATGCTATTGTAAGAGGGATGTGAGCATTATCAGTTGCTTATCATTTTAATAGCAATTCCCAGATAACAGTCATAACATTCCCAACTGTTATGTATACATAATGTTAAAGTATTGGAATCATGTCAAATTTGACACTTAGATTTTTTGCAAATCTCCATGTTTTGAGAGCCCCTGAATCCAAAAAGATAAAAGTGGCAAAAAAATTTCCTGGGGTGTGTGTATGTGTGTTGGCATCTATTTTGTTTATCATCTCAGGATGAGGTAAAAATTAAGAAACAAAATTTGGCATGGTAGCGCATGTATAAGGGGATCAATGGTATTAAATTTTGGCGGTTAAAGGTCAAGGAGGGTGGGGATATGGAGGAGATGATTCTCCTCTATATCCTCACCCCCCTTGAGAGAGGTTGAGTTAATGAAGATTTTACTTGCTATTAGCATTTACAGTTTTTTTATAAAATCACTACTAGGAAAATTAAGCTTTTTGCCATTATGTAATAATTAATAATATAAATGTTATTTTAAAAATAAAATCTCATAANCGGAGCCCGGAGATAACTCACTCAATCCCGGAGTCTCCGGGTCAAACCCGGACAGGTGGCAACCCTAGCCATATCTCGAGTGGGGTCGGACGTAATGAAGATTTTACTCCTTACCATTTCTCTACTGTCTATCTCCTCTCCCTCCTTCCCCTCTTTCCCTTACCCTCTTTTCTGCCGGCTAAACACTTAGTGTACGGTCGATGTCTTTCTTGTATGTATGTAAGTTACCATTTACAGTTTCTGTTTTTTTTTTTATAAATTCCATCTCTGTCTTTAAAATTAAGACTGTTATTATGTAATAATTAATAATATAAATGTTATTTTAAAAATAAAATCTCATAACAGCTGGAAAAGTTATGCAACTCGTTGCGAGATTTTTTTAAAGACTGGTTGCTGGACATGATCTAAGCATGAGATCCTTCTGTTGGTCGACAGTTGTGTGATGTATCAAGTGACAAGCACTTTATTTTACATAAAAGTAATGCATTTGCCACCCAATACATCATTCATCCTTGTGATCAGGGCATAATCCAAACTATAAAAGCTTATTTTCACCATAAAATGCACAGCTGACTTCTCCAAGACTTTGAAATCATGAAAATGAATGCATGAGAACTGAAAAAAAGATTAGTCATCTAGAAGCTCTTCACCTTCTTAAAGCTGGAACAAAATTACATGAACCATGATTGTCAACTATTTTAAGTATGGATTTACTAAAGTTGAAAGCAAAGATACAGCTGAAGAGAAAGTAGAGGAAAACAGTAATGATATAAGTCCAGCAATATCAGTGTCTGATTTCAATGCATAGATGAAAATTGACAAAGACATCTGCTTACAGAAGAAGAAATCTGTTTTGCTGTAATGGAAGAAGCAGCTACAGAGTACAATATTGATGTGGCTGAAAAAAAAACAAAGAGGTCGACATAATTAACCCTCCAACAACTAACTCAAAATGTGGCTAGTGCCAGAGGCCCAATAACATGGACTATTCTGTTGATCAGATGATTTTACAATGCAATATTTGTACATTTTATCAATGATTTATTATGTAAAGATTGTAGACAATCAAAAATAAATAAAATTTTTACTAGTTGATACTAAACAGATATGTTGTTTCATTTTATTTTTATGCTCACTTTGGCTTGGAACTGATGTGATTACAATAAGAGGCATCCACCATATTGAATTTAATCTGTTGTCATATCTCTTTGTTAGTCTTTGCTTTATTTGTGCACATTCTGTGAGTTTGGTTTGTAAAATTCTAAATATTTGTAGACTTTGCCCTCAACCACAGATTCAAGACCAAATGCAAAATCATCTTTTTTTAGGATTCTTTTTTCAATCTGAAGGAAGTATTTTGCATTTGTGTAGGTGAAACTCCATTTGAATGTCAGCGAAGTAGTTGTGTGAAAGTTTTAATAGGCAATTTAGCTGTGTATGAATGTAGATGTAGAGTATATCATTCATATACATGAAGTGGAGTAATACATGTTATGATATCTATTGTGTTTAATGTTGTATCTGTATTTTGTATTATGTTTAACCTATTGAATTATTAAGCCAGACAGAACCAGAATTGAATTTGCTCAAAAAATGTTTTGCCTTACAGAGTTGTAATGTCATTTTCCAGTGTTGCATTGTGTTTTCTAGAAATTTAATGTATAATATGAAAATATATTTTTTAATGAGATTTTCTGCTGAAAGTAAATTTGCATTATTAAACCCAATTAATAACAAAATATAATTGTTTAGGTAATGCTATAGTTTAAATTTTGAATCTGTTTGAATTTTAATCTGAAGACACTTTGGATAATAAAAATGATACTTATTACATATTTAAATGTTTTTTTTATTATATGTGATATAAAATGTCCAAAATGTTAACCAAATTAAAGTGTTTTATCAATATGAATTTTATACAATATGTATAAAATGTAATGTTACAAAGTGGGTATGATAAGGATAAGTTAAATTTTTTAAGAAAGATTGATCAAACGTCTTTTCTAATCTACTGACCTTTAGAAGTTTGGTACGATATCTGTGTTCGTATTCGTCCTTTCTTTTTTCGGGTATTGGTTTTCGTGCTTTGCGCAACATTAATTTCATGTCTTCGACAGTCATCATGGCGAGTGGATCGAGCAAATGTCTATTGACAATTCCAACCAGATACTCTATGTAATGTATTCTGCAATTCGTTAAAGGTTCGTTAGATTTACATTCACTTTAATATCTTAAAAGTCAAATTAAAATCTAACACACCTGCAAAGTCCTGCATATTCTTCTTGTACCTGTTTACCACATATATCTTTAAGCCATCCTCTAGGACTATATTTCTGTACTTTTACAGGACACCACTTTTTCATTATATAATCCTTTGGAGGCTTACTTTCAAATATAAAACCATTATCCTATAAAAGTAATTCAGAACATTATAATTATATCAATTATGATTTAAATATTTAAAATGTAATTTTAAATTTACTTTTAAAAATTTCTGCAAATCATCTGGTTCCTTATCTCTGAAAAAGAAAAGACAATTTCTTGGATGATGCGCATGCCAGCCAAGTTTGTAGCAGTGCATTGATATTCCACATTCCTGGAAAATTAAAAGTAGTTATACTGTAAAAAAATAAGATTTACAATTTACATTTCAAAATATTTAATTCATTATAAATAATTAAAAACCCATTTTTCATATTTTATAGAAGTATTACATAGTCAATATGAAAACATACAAACACACAATAAAGTACAAAGTTTCAGAAATTACAAAAACTTTGATAATTATAGTGTAATCTCAATTTATGAGCATATCTCATTTCCAAAAATATCTTGTAAATCAACTTTGTAAATAAGAATGAGAATCTTAAGAAATAAATTAACACTCATAAACCTTAAAAGTCCAGTAGTAAATATTTAATAGAAAACAAACACTTTTGACCATTCTTTTGGTCTTCAGGTTTAATTAAAAAACCATTGAGATTCGAACAAGTGAATGCATAGAACAAAAATTATGAAATTATTTTCAAAAAATGGAACAGCACAAACAGATTTTAAAACAATAAGCAGTTATGCATGTGCGTTGCCATGGCGATGGAATGGTATATGTAATACATACACTGATATAAATACATACAAATAAACCAAATGGGGGTGTGGTTTCTAACTGCTGGTGTGGACGTTGCCCGTTTCTTCATAGCAGTACTTCCAAGCATGCGATACATTGATGACATCATTAGAGTTAATGCAATTGGTATGTAACCTGGCTTTGTAAATTTCAAGTGCCTCCAGGTTTCATAGGTGTTTCACATGGTGAGAAAGTTTGATCAGTTCGGCCTCATGTAGGTCAACTCTTATGCCGGGGTCAGTGGCATGTTGATAGGGCGGTGGTGCACCTTTTATTAACAATGTTGTATTTGTGTTCCTGCAATCTTTTATTCAGAGAGCGTTTTGTGGACATAATTTAAACTAATTCCCTTTGAAACCTGTTGTGTCATAGAGGAACCATGTAAACACCCAGTGCTTGCTTTTTATTGATCTTGTCTTTGCCACTGTGGAGTAGCCCATATACTAGGCTGGGCCTCTTGTCTGCAATCTTAGTGTTAGTATGGGAGGCAGTCTCTCTGTAAATGGAATTGAGGTGGTGATTGTACTCAACAACTGCACGAGACTGTGTGCTATTCAGGTTGTGTGTTTCGTGGGTTGCTACTTGTGTGTTAGAAGTGTCGCATGCGGCTATTTGTGTGGAGTAGGTGCGGGAAAGGTTGTGTATCAAGTTCCTGCTATATCCGTGCTGTACTGCTATGTTCTGAATGCGTTTCAACTCCATCTCAGTGTCTTCAGATATAGTGTGGTGTGTGAAAGCCCTTTTTGTTAGAGCATGAAAGGCAGAGATCTTATAGGAGTAAGGGTCCGCAGATTTAGCTGGGATGATATAGCATGATTTGTAATGTACCTTTGTTACTACCCTAGTGCCATCAAGTTGAAGGTAGATATCCAGGAAATGTGCAGCAGTATTGCTTTTCTGATCCAATTTGATGGTGAGGCTGTAAGGATTGTCATTCATTGTACTTATGAAATTGTTTATGTTTGGTTCTACTTTCCATAGAATAAAGATGTCATCTACATACCTCTTGTATATGAGAATGTTGGAAACGAACTGTGGTATGATCTTTCCTTCAAGCTGCCTTATCACCAACTCACATAAATCCCCTGAGAGAGGGCTGCCCACAGGTACACAATAGGACATTACCCAAACTGATCCATGAGTGGAGCAAATCTTGCAACATGAAATGTTGTATGGCTACAATATGCTCCACATTGCTCAAAGTTGGATTGTATGGGTGTAAAGTGAAAAAGAAACCCTTGCTCAGAAGTTCAAAGAAAATGAAGATTGGTTCAGGCAAAAGAACACTTCACTGGTCTCCTTGACAATGTGAAAAACTACTTTTTAGTGATAAGTTGACCTTTTTAATATAGCACCTAACATCAGTAATGGTGTTCATAAATTTAATAAAATTTTTCTTATTATTTGAAATTTGCCTTTCATTTTGCTCAGAACCCTATACCTAACATCAATAATGGTGTGCACATGTATGGTGTTGGGAGGCTGCACATTATTCAAGGTGTGATGAATGGCCCAAAACTCTGCAAAGTATCGAACAAGAAAATGCAATTAAATGTACATGATTTGTTTCCTAATGAGAGACTTCATCTTTACGGACAACAATTTTCCCTATTGTTAGTAAAAATTTATGAAATAATGATTGCAAAAGAAGAGTATTCAATAACCAGATTGGCCATCCCAATCCCCAGATTTAAATCCTATTGAAGATTTGTGGCAAAAACTGTCCACCAAAATATTCAAAAAACACTCCACCAACAAAACTGAACTGATTGAAACCAACACTAATGATTGACATCACATGACTTTTGTCAAACCATTCAAGAGACTTGTTTACTCCAAGCCTGAATGATGCAAATTGGTAATCAAAAATAAAGTATGGCCAATTCAGTACTAATAATTCTAAAAGTCCTTATAAGTGATTAAAAATTGACTACAAGGAACACTGTACCCATAAAATAAAAAAGGCTTGATTAATGAAAATGTTTTTGTTTTTTAGTTTAATATTACTGTATGATCAATTTTATAATGGATTTTTAATTTCTTTTAAATTTCAAACAAAATGGTACATAATATTGTTGTCAGATTTAGATTTTTCAAACTGAATTTGGGTCTAAACAAAAAATCTTCAAAATCTAGTGTAGTCCAAGACTTTAATATCACTGTGTATCACAGTGGTTCCCAACCTTTTTTCATTAGTGTACCCCGTGACATGCCATATCTCTAGATTGTACCCCGTGACATGTCATATCTCTAGATTGTACCCCTCATTTAAGAAATTTAGTGAGTAACCGTATTGTTAAATTTACATATTGTAACTTTAAATTAAAGAAAAAAAAACTAAAAGAAAAAATGTATAATAAAGTTGTGATTGTTGCAAGGAACATTATTTATCTAATAATTTTTTAATACTATTAGTTTGTGATACATAATATATTATTTTTTCTGCCATAATAACTAACTTTTTTCTGTACCCCTAAACAACCTATCGCGTACCCCTAGGGGTACGCGTACCACAGGTTGGGAATCGCTGGTGTATCATATGACTTTAACACTTGTAACAATGTTCTATAATCTATATTTAAATCTGGTGATGCCCACTAATGCAAATGAAAATGTTTGTTTATTAAAAATCTTTGCTGGATTTTAATGGTTTAGCTTAAAATTATTTATTTCATCCAGTTTTACATACATTTTATTGTTGCATTTGTATTAAATTAAATTGCAGTATATTGAAATAGCAAAAAAAATATTTACCTTTCCTTTTTTATACAGTTTCCTACATCCACTACAAAAGAAATTATGACAGTTATTACAATAAAATTGTAAGCATCCACCTTTTGCCATTTTATAATGGATGCGACATTCTGGACATTCTGTTGATAAAAAAGATTTAATGGTTACTTAAAAAATATCTAAAAATCATGCCTATAATAATTTTTCTTACTGGTTCCTTGTTTTTCTAAAATAAATTCCAATCCATCATCTTTATCAGGAGTTTGAGTAGATTTTAATGCCTGAAATTCTGCGCAGGTCCTGGCATCGTGCTCATTGTCCCACTAAATCAAAATCAAGTTGAATATTAAATAATTTACTGAATTCAAATATAAAAACTTACCAGCCAGTGGCAGCGGGTACAGGTGATGGCTCCGCAATCAGGACATTCGAGTTTTACAATTCCGGGACAAGCCAATAATCCGGATGAACACTGAACAAGACAAATAATTGTTTCTTTATTTAGAAGAAATAGAAATATTTACAGAAAATTAAATTCTTTAGTTAATCAAATAATACCTGTGTACACCAATGAAAATCTGGATTTTTCATTAATGCATTATCTCTTAACTTTTGTTGAAACAATTCATATGTTCTTGTATCCATTAAAGCTTTAAGCTGAAAAAAAAAATTATGTGGAAAATACCTTGTACATTTATTTTTCGTGTTCATGTAAAAAGATAAATACCATTATGTCAAGATGATTAAAATAATCACGAGAGGCATTCTCATCATTCAAGTCTGGTTTATCACATAGAGGACACACCCAATTTTCTACATTCCTATCTTGAATTTCGACCATAAAGTAGGCTCTTAAACATTCTTTACATGACTTATGAGAACAGTGCAGCATATTTATCATCTAAAAAATAATAAATGATGAAATATATTTATATTTCTATGTAACTATTAAAATTATATTATCTTTATTAACTAGAAAACACTTTAACACTATTTTCGTATAGCCAAATAAATCTTGACCTAAGGCCATCAATATTTCAATGTACTTCTAATGTTGGATAGTAAATGTAGGATTTGTATTGTGTTCATCTTTTCTTTTTAAATATTTCAGTTTATTAAAGATTTGTACATGAGACAAATTAGAAGTTTTAGAAAAAATGTAAAAGTTCAAAATAGAAATTATATTATTTATCAGGAAGAAATACATTCCTATTGTCCAATATTGAATTCTGCTGCCCTTCTAGTCTTTGAGAAATTTATCAATACTTGTATATTTCCTAATGTAATCTCTTGTATTAATGAATCACACAAACTTACAGTATTCCTTGAATCAACAATAATAAAAATCTGCTTCACACTCAACAATGTTATAGAATTTTTTTAGGCCAAAAGATCTATATATGTAGGGCAGTGATTCTCAACCTCTTTTTGTCATGGTACACTTTTAATAATTTAAAAATTTGGCGGCACATATGTTTACTTCATAATTACTGCAAGACAACCAGTAATGTCATAACAGTGATTTTTAAACGCAGTTTGTTTTTAACTACTGAAAGTTGCCAGTAACATTGATTACCATTTTCCAAACACGCTCTAGGAAGGTAGAACTGATTAAACTACTTGTCTGACGTCGCTTATGTATGGATATTCGTAGTGGCGGCACACTTCAAAAATCTCGCAGCCCACTAAAATGCCGCAGCACAATGGTTGAGAATCACTGATGTAGGGTATTTAGATATTAAACAAGCATATAATTCTGTGGTTTTGTCAACTTTATTGCCAATCTTAAGTAATGAATTGACGTAGAATCTACTTTTATGGCTTGGATGCAATTTTTTTCCTTTACTTCCTACACTAGTATTCAAGAGGGTGTTAAGTAACTTATTTTATAATTGTTTTAACAATAAGATTTTCTTGAATGTCAGCTCACCAAACCATATTGTAAGCTGATGACATCGAAATCATTAATGATAATCCTGCAATCTTACAGGAAGAATTAAATTGTTTAATTTAATATCAAATGTTTCAAAGACAAAAACAATTTGTTTCTTACTGTTAAGATTTGTCTTATAACCATTCCAAATTGAAGGCTTCACTGTACAATATGTGGATCACATAGAGGACCTGGATTGTGCTTGATCAAAAGTTATTATTTAACAAACTTAACAAATATGGATAAAATACTAAAATCCTTAGCAATTTGCCATGATGCTTTATGGCATCACTGTCATTCTATATCAAAACAATATGTGTTTGGGGTCTTTTTTAATACAATAGTCAATCATTCACTGAAAATTAGTATCTCTATGTGGATGTCCTATACATTAACTCATATAGATGGCACAAATCTTGAATTACACAAAATCATTATATTATTAAATAGCTTAATGAATTTACCTTATTTTAGTAGCTTTGAGATATATCAAGAACAATAGTAAAGATACTAAGATACTTTTGTTAGAAGGTAGTAGGCTTCAAATCTTTGATAGGTAATTGTATTATAAAATATTTAATGGATTATTTCTGGAATTACTTTATGTAAAGGTTCCTAAAATTTCTTAAAAATACTTCACTAATTCATGTGCCAAAATTTTCACCTAAACATATAAAAGATCATTTTGTCATCGCATTTCCCAGAAGATGGGTGAATTTGAGAACTTGATACATCTGGACTAGTATCCCCTGAAAGGAGTTAGATAGATAACTGGTATGACTCCATTGCTAACAGAAAAGTATAATGTACAGGGACAAGTTACTGCTAATTTGAAGGTGGAGAGCATATATTTTAAATTAAATAAATTTAAACTATAAGTAGTGTAGAAATTTCATAAGCAGTTTTATAAATTCAAGATCTTAACATAATAGTACATTAAGTGTTTCATTTGGTAAATTTGTGTTTAATGATCTTTAGAGTTTTTTAATCTATTTGTATTACATACCAAATTGCAAACAATGAAAGGTCAATTGAAGTACATTTGTATTTGCTGTCAATACAGGCACTTTAATTTTATCACAAGCATTTTAATGGAATGTCTGAATAGTTTTTGCCACTGTCATTTACTGTTAACCATTTCTAATGTTTGCATTTATTTGTTGGTCTACAATTTTTTTTTCAAATTGCAGACCTATAAATTTCCACTGTCATCTGTCTGCCTTTCCTTAACCTTGAGAATGGAGTTACATAGATAAAGCAGATACTATAAATGGAAAGCTTAGGGAAAGAGGCCCTGATTAACTATATACAAACTTCCGATGCAAACCAGAAGTCATGCTATTTCAATTCAAAACTTTTCCCTGAAAGCAGTTAATAGATGACTCTATTGTTAAAGGAAAAGTATGATGTACAGAAGCAAGCCATTACTAATTTGAGGTGAAGAGCATATATTTTAAGTTAAATTAATTAAAAATATGATTACAAATTGCAGCCTGGCATTGTGACCCTGTCACAATAAATAATTGCACATTAGCTTTTATGTTAGGTTTTCCTCAAGGCTTAAAGTAGTTTTAAAATAGCTAAAGTAATTAGACATATTGATTTTAGAGATTGTGTTCTGATTTCAAATATGTATTGAACTTTAAAGTTGCACTAATTAAGGAAAAAAATACAGAGTAGTTCCCCCTAGCAAACATTACGTTCCCTCCACCTATGGCTGTGAGTCAGAGGTAGTGATAATCTTGAACCCTGTGTTTTCTTTATAGCTATCCTAAATCTCCTTTCCAAAATAACCTTATCCAGACAATATTATGATTGCATATGTCATGTGAGTAATGAATTTATAATTAATGCACACAATAATGTTTTTTAGGCTATATACTTATGCATATTACAGAACATTCAATTACTAATAATAATAATAGCACCTCTCTCAGTGGGAGAATATCAAATTTTAAGTTCCCCCATGTTTTATTTTATTCATAATTCCATCTCATAATCTTATGGTATTATTTTTTTTGTGGAAAAATTCATTTTTAAGCAAGATGTCTATCCATAAATTTAATTTATTTTCACTTTTAACTAATAATTTCAGACAAAGCACTTATAATTATAAACAGAAAACACATGCATTGTACTGGTATATCACAAATTGTACTGTTTAACCTCTGTCTATGACTATATTTTAAACCACACTCACTATATTCCATTTTATTTAACTTATAACAAGTTCAACAATGTTGACAGTATGATAAACAAATGGCAAACATGCTATTTTACTCTTTGAATTGGGTGAAAAGGCTGACATTGCATAAGAAAAAAATCATTCATTTGTAAGTAATTAAAATTTAATTTATTTTCATTTTTACAAATAGAAATTACAAGTAAAGAATTCATAATTTGTAACTATGACCAGAAAATATCACAAATGGAGTCCTGCCATTGATGCTGTTTGCCATAGCAGCATAATTTAGAATTAATTCTCGCTCAAGGTCTAGCACTTGTCATGAAATCATGTTCGTCTGACATTAGCCTACAGAAAGTCAACGGCCCAACCAATCAATGACAGAACAACCGATTCAGAAGTTAGTGGCACCAAGATCACCTGGTGTCATGTAACAAATCATCGATGACATTGTTGTATTAATATTTTAAAAGTGTTGTATTTTCCTTATAATTCTGGTGAACTTAGTGACAGTCTTAGTTAAATTTTCTATGTCTATTATATCTGAGTTTATTGTTTATATGCCAAGATGTTTTATATTGTGTACTTTATCTTCTTTTCATTTATTTCTATGTGAAATTGTTCCATATCAACGTTTTTATTATTATTATTTACAAAACAAAGATATTTCATTTTATTTGTGTTTAATTTTAACACATTTGAACTCATATAATCAGTTAATCTGGAAAGGACATTGTTTAATTCATGTTGCACTGCCTGGAAGTTATCATTGGAGTGTATTAGAACAATGTCGTCTGCATATGCAATGATATTAATTTTTGGTATCGCTTCAAACAGATCATTCATGTAAATATTGAAAAGTAACAATGCAAGTATTGATCTCTGGGGAATTCCGATTTTAGGTAAAAACCATTTGAGCATACATTATGTACTTTTACATGATATTTTTGGTTTGATAAATATGATATTATCCATTTTAAAGGCACTCCTCTTAGACCAATGTTAAACAATTTTTTTTTTCCAGGATCCGTAGGTCCACACTGTCAAAAGTTTTGGATAAATCTAAAAATACTGCTATGACTAAAGAAAATTTGTCTAAATTGCCCGTGACTTCCTGTTTGAAATGTAACAGTGCATCTATTGTAGAGGAATTATGTTTGTAGGTGTATTGATGATGATGAACCACATTTAAATTAATAATGTATTTCCAAAGTTTTTGTGGAAGATTTTTTATATGATTTTTACCAACACGGGAACTAATTAAAATTAAAAAAAATAATTAAAACTAGCCTTTACATCAAAACTGAAACTAAAATAAAAATTAAATTAAATTAAAATCAAATCAATCAAAACACAATATTTCGAAAAGTGTGGATAAAGTACTTGTTGTTGGTGTTGATTGATTTGGTTATATTTCATCCAGCAGAAATCCATCTGAATTACTGAGAAATTCACCTCTGTACTCAGACTTGAGTCTCAATTTGAAGCATTTCTTTGTAAAGGGTTAGTTTTGGTTTCAGTTGGTGGTGACAGAACAGTTTACTTTTAATATGTATATATATATCTTGTATGGAAAATTTGTTTCGGTTTTAGAACAAATCTGTTTTCTAACAACTTTTAGGAACAAATTAAGTTTGAAACCAGAGGTTTGATTGTATTAAATAAATTCCAATCTGAGCATGCATTAACAATGATGATAACTTAGTACAGTGGCATACACAGAGTGATGCATGCTTGTATATTGTCTTCAATAATGTGTGTTTGAAGATGTCTCATACATATGGTATGGTATGTACTTATCCGTAACAGGAAAGTGGTTATAGAGAAATCCTTCTGAATTACTGAGAAATTCACCTGTGTACTCATTGGCCACTTCCATAATCAGATTGCAAATGTTTATGAACTGTCCTAATTATTTAAATTAAGTGTAAAAACAAATAAATACTATTCATCATTTTTATTGTATGATTAATTTAATTTGTCTAGTAATAATAAAATAAAATTGTAAAAAATTAAACAGTAGACTATAATTAAAATAATCATACTGTAAATCAACTTTAACTTGTAATTGGAATTTAAAATTGACATATAAGCCTAACTTGCATCCTCTTTCAAATTATTTTTCAAACACAGGTAATCCACATGAAATTATGGTAATTTTTTGCATTTTCTCTACTTATTCATTTTATGTATGTAGCCATTTTGTTTAGAGTTCTCTTAACATTGACTCATTTAAAAACAATTCTATCAAGACTAATGTTGCTGGGAAATGCACTTTCTCTCATATTTTGCTTCCTGTCACTTTTTCACTCCACAACCATTTTTCTCTCTGTTACAATCACAATCTGTGCATCTGTTAATCATATAAACTTTTAAAATAGCTATTGCACCAGTAACTGTCATGCATAACATAAAGGAGTTTTCACACTATAATTTTTAAACATAAACTCTGGATAATCAATCCTGCAATATCAGAGTAGACAACCACGAATAAAAATTTCACATGATGGTTTTTTTGTCCACGACCTAAAAATAACGTAGTTATGTAGTTAAAATTTTATTAAGTTGTGGTAATTTACCAGCCAATGACCTATTTTATTGATTTAAGTCTTCTGTACAGTGTCATTGGGAGTCACACAAAGACCCTAGTATAATCTTACACAGTATTCACTAACATCTGAAATGTCTATCATTGCATTCTTGTTTCAATCATTTTCATTTCATTTAAGAATAAAATGAAAAATATCATCTCCTGATTGTAATAAGAATCAATTTAAAGCAAATATTGTGTTCATTTACAAAACTAATTTTAATTTTAATAATTTTGACAATTTTAAATAAAATTTTATAAAATATTAATAATAAATATGTTATACTATATTTTCCAATTTTAAAAGGTTTTGTAAGATTTTCCACTGTTGCTGTTTGAGAAAAATTCATAGAAGAGTTATAAATGCTGTGTTTAATTTGTATACTAGTGTTTTTCTTCTTGAAAAAAGCCCAAATAATTTTACATTATATTATAATATTACAGTTTTAATAAAGAAAAATGTTTATTTATAAATATATTGTATATGTACGCTTATAATACTTTTACTTTAAAACAAATGTTTATTGTAATTTTATTACTTTCTATTACCTGATTAGCTGGAAAATAGTTTTCACATAAGTCACATTGCTGTTGTAAGAACTTCACTGCTTGATATATTGTGTCACAATGTTCTGCTGCTTGCTTGGATTCTTCTTTATTAAATTCCATTTCAATTAGTTTTGATATCATGGTAGTTTTATCCATTTCTTCTCTCTGAAAGGATTTATAAAAAAAAATGCTTAATAAAAGTTGAGTTTCCATCACTGATGCCACCTGTTATAATATTATCCTTCATTTTGCATTTACAACCTTTCATGCTATCCTCCATTTTCAGATTTGCATTATCTCAAGTTGAAGAAGTCACTATGGAAGAAGAAAATGAGGAAGAGCTACCAGCATAGCTTCCAAAGAGATATAGACAAAGATATTCCTTGAAATGGAATTGGTAACATTTAAGTTGCTTAAAAATAAGAAAGACAAACAAGCATAACTGAATTTTTGGCAAAAAACTGTATAGGATTTTGTAATTATATACTATAGCCTATACAATATTCATAGAATTTGTCAAAAAATTTATTAATCATAAATAAAGAACATCTTAATTAATAAACTATTGAGAATTTGATCCTCTAAAATTAGATAATTAGGACTTTTCCTGTATAGAGAAAGTATACATAAATATAATAAATAAAATCTATAAAAATGCCTCAACAACATTAACACTATGCCAACAAATGAAATAAAAATAAATAGGAATTCAGCAGGATGACTCTGTGTCACCAAAACTTTTTATAGCAGCTTTCCATGATGTATTTGAGGAACCAAGTTGGCACAAAAGAATAAAAATAAACAATAAATACAAGCCTAAGATTTGCAGATGACAATATACTTTTCTTAAACACAGCCACAGAAATACAAAGATGATGAATTTTGCACTGCAAGCAATGAGATTGGCCCAAAAATTAATAAGGAAATAATAACGTACAACTACACACCGGAGTTTACTAAATATTACATACCTCCGAAACCTTTAACCGATGTGAATAAATTTAACATTACTAACGTTTTCAGGCCCCTCCTGGGTCCTTCTTCAGGTAAAAATCGTCAAACTAACCATTCGTTACGAAAGAACTTTTCAAAACATCGAATGATAGAACGGCATCATGTGTTCCATATTCCCAAACGTAAAAGTTTCCACGTCATAGCGGAGGCAATTGAAAATATTTTTCTTTTTATTTTTTATATAATTACTGTTGTAAGATCTTTGATGTTAAGCAAAAAACACATTATATGCATATTGTCTACCCTTTCGTCCTCCTTGCTTAAGTTTACAACTTCCTTAATCTTCCTTTTGCATTAGAGCTTGCCAAGCCAAAGATAGAGAGATTTCATCCCTAAAATTAATATGTGATGAATCGTTGTATGCTCTGTATATCTCTATCTGCTCTAACCACTTGAGATGGTCTGCATATTTTTACCTGAAGAAGGACTCAGGAGGGATCTGAAAACGTTAGTAATGTTAAATTTATTCACATCAGTTAAAGGTTTCGGAGGTACGTAATATTTAATAAGGAAAAACCAAAATAATGAAAAAAAGTGTTCATAAGCCACCCAGTAATGATAGAACAAACACTAATAGAAGTGGTAACTTCTATTAGTGTTTGTGAACTGGAGATTGGACAATTAAAACTTCCATGGATCTCATTAAGAAACTCAGTATCTTTAAAATTCCCTTAAATCTCAAAAAGCATTCAACCAGGTCATTTTCCCTGTTTTAACACACAAATATCTGATAGCGGAATGTAGAATCTGACAAACACTGACAAATTGATTCAGATATGAAGAAGAATGGAGCAATCAATGATGAGATTAACACTTAATGGCTGAAAGTAAAATACATGGATAAGTGTCAAAGATAAAAATTGTAGTCCAGATCAAATATTTTAAGTGGAAATGGGTTGGACATATTATAAGACATGACAACAGACAGACCAAGATTGTTTTGGATTGGAAAATTAAAAAAACCAAGAAAAACAAAGATCAAAAAGGGAAGATGGAAAGACTAAATTAGAATTTGCTAGAAAGAAATACAAATGAAAATGGAATGTTTAGAAGAGCCCTTTTTCGAGGAGAGAACAGATATATGAAAATCCAGCAGTGTTGCTTAACTTTTCCAACAACATTTAAAATTGCATGTGTGGACCATATGTTATAATATTTTATTATTAAAAATTTTTTATATTTTTAATTATTATAAAATTGCAATAAGCTTAATTTTAAGGGTAGGGATGAGTTTACAAGAAATTCTAAATGCTAATAACCAGTAAAATTATCATTAAGTCCAACCCTGCTCCAGATACGACACGAGCCCTCTTTATCTCCCCATCCCCTTGACCTTTAACCACCAAAATTTAATAGCACCAATTCTCCTAATAAACAAACCTCTCCACAAAATTTTAGAAATTTTCTACAAAAAACACAGGAGTTATTAAGCTTCAAAGAGGATGAGCAACATTATGCCACACACACATACACACACACATTCTTATATAAAGAAAAAACTACTGAATTCTTTTGCATTTATTGACATTTCAAGATCCTAAGTCCAAAAATGTAAAAATCTTCGGGGATCATTTTTTGACTAATTGCCATACTTTCCTTCTGTTATATACAGTATAACAGAGGGAAAGTATGCAGTATAATAGTAATAGTGATTCAACAATTTCATATTATGCATGTAGACCACCACCAGGAAGCAATCCAGATCGACTTGCCCATTGACCTGGTTAGGTAACTCTGTACCCTCTCCCCTTTGTCCTTTGAGTCTCCTCCTTGACCACCTGCTGACTGTGATCATATATGAAAACATGTTCTCATGATATACAACCTGTATAATTAATAAAGTTTTGGACTCTACAAATATTAATTGAGATGATCATTCATTCTAAGGATATAACAATTTGGCAACAAGCATAAAAATGAGTGAACTTGCAGAATTGATTTTAATTCCAAATATATCCATTGAGAAACTGCAGACCCAGTTGGTGGAGATGAAACTAGATCTATCAATTAAGTGAGTCCTTTAAATACAAGCCCTAATGTTTGAAATTTACAATGAAACTTCTGAAATTTTTGAAAACTATTCCCAATGACTGGACAACTTTTCATAATCAATGGACTAACCAGAATGGATGCCATTACTGAAGAAGCTAAAGTAATGATCTTAATCAATTGCCTCAAACTGAAACATTATAAGCTACTTATTAATCCAACTGCCATGAATATACCTTCTAGATGAACTTAAATGAATTATTTTGCTAAATTAATGAAACTACTAGAAATCATCTAACACCTATATGAAACATCCTAACAGAACAACACAAATTTTTGTTTAGATTATACCATGATGGTGAGTATATTTCAAGTTACACAACTTCCTTAAAACAATGCTCAAAAATTGTAGATTTCAAGTCTAGTTGTAACAGTGCCAATTGTATAAAATTTGTTATACATTTATTCTTAAGAATGCAAGTGATACCCAGATTATGTGATTCCAATATCCATGAAAAAATTCTACAACAATATAACCTCACCTTTGAACAGACACTAGAAATTGCTGTGGCCATCGGCCATATAATTTATAGTTTTCTATGTAATATAAGTTAGTCTTAGAAACTCTTTTGTTCTTTATCTTGATTATTTTCTAAATTTTCCCTTCTAATCCGCTTACCCTTGGGGTGGGATTACCATTTCGAAGAAAAGCCCGGTGAACAATAGGAGGAAGACCCAGGGGGTCTTGCAGGAAGGAAAGGGAACTCATTCTTGTACCAGGACGAGAGAAGGCAAGGTGGTAGAAAGGATCGTCCTCGAGCAGCGTGAGAGTGCGTGAAGTGAGTGTGTTACGGAGAGTCAAGAAGGGACACGTGGTGCAAGGAAAAGAAAGGACGCTGACGACCAAAGGAGTCACGACGAAAACAAAGAGTGGTATCTCACCCCAGTATTATACGTACGTTAGGAAAGGAAACCCGGGTATTTCTGTCTTGTTCTATCTTCTCTCCTATCTAATCTTTCTTTCGATAGTTATAAGTAGGTTAAGTTCTAGTTTTAGATCTACACGCGCTTGATTGTCGGGTCACGTATAGCACGTGATATCTTTGTTGTAATAGACGGTAAGCCTGTACGAGTGTTTGTACTCGAGAAGTTGGGATCCATAAAGAACCTGCTTCGATTCTTTCTGGCGATAATAAAAGGGAACCGGATTTTATTTTATTTAATTCGTTTCTTTTATTTTGTGTCGGTCTGTTCGCAGAACCCATCACACATCGCTACAAGAATCACCACATTGCATTAGCCATACAAGCTTCTAAAATTGAAAATGACAAAGTGTATAAAAGTAATCATCTTGTTCACAAAATCACCAAAAATATTCATCAAATGAAATGATACTCACAGTCTTAAACACCATCCTTAAATTCAAACAGGTACAGAACAGAAGGTTGTAACAAAAATCTACTTAACCTCAGGGAACTTAGAACTATACTTATATTGTGGGAAGAGCAACTATAGTCAAAGATTGAAATGAAACCAATGTTATAAAAAAAGACCATACTGGAAAGGTATGCATATTATCTTTAATCAAACCAACATCAACAATTAACAGAAACCATAACATCCACAATACTGTTCATAAACATTTAACTGACTTTGATACAAATAGCATTCAGGACACATTTGTTAACATAACAGGAAGTGACAATAAAACTGTAGTACTTTGCAACTATTTTTTTTTGTTTGTTTTGGTTTTTCCATCACCCCTTTTGTTTTTGTTCGTGGTGCCACCTTTCCCCAATTCACCATATGTTGGCAGCCAGATTGGCCAATAGAGGTCATGTGAGGAGGATATGTGTTTAGTAGGATATAAAAGGTCATGACCCACGTGGAGTGGACCTTTTGTTTCTGCTTGTTCTGAACTGTGGTGTTCTGGTCACATGTATGAGATCGAGGCACCGAGCATGAGAGGTCCGAGAACGGAAAGAAGACGAGATAGAAAAAAAATCCATTTATCATCTAAATAAGGACAGTGTGGCAGTGAAATACAACTTGTTCAAGAGAAAAATGATTGGCAGAGGATTCATTCAAACAGATTAGTTTTTTCCTTCAAATGTTTATACATGGCGTAAGATTGTCATGAGTAACTTAGTTTATATTTTTTA